GAACATTTTGATGAGCCAATCCATTTAAAAAAACATTGTGGCTGTAATAAAGTGAGCAGTCAGTTTCATCCTTTGTTGATAATTTCAGTTTCAGTTCTGTAATCTGTTTCTGTTTGCATTTAGTGTATATCCAGAATAGGAAGTAAGGGTGTTTTTTTTTAAAAAAAAACCTCTTGATTGTTATACATCATCAGCTCTGGCTTAAGTATCAGTTCTGTGAATAATAAACTACAGTGGGGTCTTGACTTACGAACGACCCTACTTGCGAACAATTCAACTTACAAACCCGCCCTATAGGGGAAATAAGGACTCGACATACGAACTTCTCTCGAGTTACGATCAGGAAAAAAAGTGCCCCCTCCCTCCCCTTAGAGGCTTCTGGAGGGGACAAAAGGGTCAGAAACTTTAAAGTAAATAAAAGAAAGTCACTTACCAGGCCTTGGTAGCCCCCAAACAGCAGGAAAAAGAGCAGGAAACAGCGAAAAGCTGACACCCAGAAGGGAGCCTGGCAGCCATTTTGTGCTTTTCCCCACTCCTGCCCCCTCCTCTCCCCGCCTATCAGCTGATCGGCTGGCTCTGAAGAGGCTTGGGGAGGCTTGCTCAGCACCTAAAAAGCCTGCCTGTGTGTCTTTGTGCTGAAAAAATCAGTACAACATGCTTTAAAACATGATTTAAAATTGGCTTCGTTGAAAAAAAAGATTTTTAAAGTGCTTTGCAAACTGTTCCCTGCCTTCCTCCTCATTTCCTGAACCTAAGGGGAAAAAAAAGAAAAAATATCCCCCTCTAGTGGCAGAAGGCAGAATAGCAGCTTCCTATTAGTTTCTATGGACGGAAAACAGCAGATACAGATTAAATGGTTTTCAATGCATTCCTATGGGAAATGCAGATTCGACCTATGAACTTTTCGACCTAAGAACCACCTTCCAATATGGATTAAGTTCGTAAGTCGAGACTCATCTGTATTTACCACAGAGAACACAGGAAGCGTCTCAAAGTTTAACCATTCCTGGTCTCATCTCCCATTTTCAGGAAGGGATGCCATATTTTGTTCTGTTGTGTTTGTATAAGGAGAAAGCAGTGGAATTTAAGTTTTTTTTCTGTTTGTTATTTGGATTGGTCAGTACAACTTTATTTAATTGTGAGATAATTCTACCAAGTTTAATTCTACCAGAAAGCATCTGGAATGGCTTTGAATTGTAAATCTAATTCTGACCACACTCACAGTAGTTTGTATTGAGCGCTACAGTTTTAGTGTTAAAAGCCTTTGCTGTGGTAGTTGCAATCATTTGACATCTCATTTTAATTTATCTGATTTTTAAGGCCTGCTTAGAAAAACATTTACAAGTATGATTTCTGTTTCAGTCCTTTTTAAAGAGGTGATGTAGTACTTGACCTTAGAATATTAAAATAGATGAAACTGGGTAGAGATGGAGAGCTGAATTTGCTAGACTTTTTCTTTTTCAATTTCAGACTGCCTCAAGATTTTTTGTTGCTCATTGATTATAAGATGAGGCTGCTTGTCAGAGGATAGAAAGCAGTAAAACCCGTTTTGATAAGTGATTTACAAGTCTTCTCTTCCTTATCCTTAGGGTTGGAAACATTCTGTCTGCCTGTCTGCCAAGGCATCTACAAAACAGGCTGGATTTGATTTAAATCATTTTGATTTGTTTTTAAATCTTTGATTTTTATCCACCCTGTTAAGAAAGGCTTTCCCCAGCATATTTGGTATGTGGCCTAAACGGAACAAAGTTTTGGAAGATAGGTAGACTTCCACAGCAGCCAGGAGTTGTTATAATGGTCTGTTTGCCTCAGACCATTATACAGTAGGGCCATGGTATCTGTGGGGGATCAGTACCAAGCTCCCCCCCCCCCATTGTTGTCTTTTTCATCAAGTACAAATTCTTATGGGCAAATGTTGAATTACTTTTCTTTTTAAAAACCTGACAATCTGAGTCTTGAAACTCAATTTTTATCTTGATGGGGTCTATATAAAAGCTAAGCTGAAGTCTTCTCTCCTTTACTAACCTGCTGAAGACTGAAGGCAACCTCCATCTCCCCCACCCCATTTTGAATAAAACTCCACCCATCCCCACACAGTCCCTGTGCAGTGGGACAGAAACGTAGAAGGAATGTCGCTGAGGAAGGAGCTGGCTAGAAGTTAGGAAGGGGTGAGAGGTGGAAAATGTCTCCCAGGAGGCAGTTTGGCTTAAGGCTTTCACTCCTCCAGCCTTGCCAGCCAAGCCAGCTCTGAGTTTTACAACACTGCTCTGAAAGGAAGCTTCCTCATCTATAGAACCTAGTGTCTCATTCCCTGTAGTGGCCAGTTGCGATTTTCTGGATCCATTTCAGTCGGGTTTCAGGCCGGATTTTGGTACAGAGACTGCCTTGGTCGCCCTGTATGATGACCTTTGCCGGGAGAGAGACAGGGGGAGTGTGACCCTGTTGATACTCCTGGACCTCTCAGCGGCTTTCGACACCATCGACCATGGTGTCCTTCTGGATAGGCTGGCTGGGTTGGGAGTTGGGGGCACTGTTTTACGGTGGTTCCGCTCCTTCCTGGCTGACCGTGTCCAGAGGGTGGTGCTGGGGGACAGTTGCTCTGCCCCATGGCATTCATGTCATGGGGTTCCTCAGGGCTCGATACTGTCCCCCATGCTGTTTAACATCTACATGAAACCGCTGGGAGAGGTCATCAGGAGGTTTGGGCTGAGGAGTCAGCAATATGCTGACGACACTCAGCTCTACCTCTCGTTTTCCACCAATCCAGGTGAGGCGGTTTCTGTGCTGAACTCGTGTCTGGACCTGATAATGGACTGGATGAGGGTAAATAAATTGAAACTCAATCCAGACAAGACGGAAGTGCTGTTAGTGGGTGCTTCGCCAGACAGGCTGGAGGGCCATCTCCCTGCCCTGAATGGGGTTACACTCCCCCTAAGGGACAGGGTCCGCAGCTTGGGGGTGCTCCTGGACCCCAGTCTAACACTGGAAGCCCAGGTGGACTCGGTGGCCAGAGGCGCCTTCCTTCAGCTGCGGAAATTATACCAGCTACGGCCCTACCTGGACGAGCGGAGTCTCATGACAGTTACACACACACTGGTAACATCT